GGGGGGACGAGAAAAATTGGAGGAGAGTGGCCGACGAAATAAGTTGTATTGATGAAGCTGATAGGAAGTTAAATGTTGATGAATTGCGCGGATTAAGCTTGAGTGAGATGTGTTCCGATTGGATCTTTCAGAGAGCGTCGGAGCTTCTGTGAGGGGAGGGGGTGGTCGAGGGGCGGAGGAGGGGAAGGTGGCGAAAGCGAAAAAGAGCAGCTACCGGGGTTGTAAGTTTGCGAGACGTGCGCAGGGAACGATCAAGACAAGAATGTTGTCAGATCTATAATAGAGTAACTTCATAAGGAGACAAGGGACACGCAGTCGTCTCACAGACAATAGAACTTATCTAACCCTTGTACTGCCGTGCTAAGGAAGAACACCGTATAAACCTTCAGGCGTTGCCGAGTTTACTTTGATAAATCACGAATTCTTGCGATAATTTGTCAATATTATTCTTCCAATTTGTCGTAAAATTTTGTTCGCAATTTCACCTAAAATTTCTGAAAATTTCAAGGAAAAATATTCATAGCTTTCCTCTAAAATAAACATTTTATCGGAGGAAATTTGGCAACTCTCGAATGTTCATACGGCGTTTTTCCTTAGCACGTCAGAATAGGTCAGTTGCGCTGGTCATAGAATCGTATTTTGATGCATGATTCTTATAGATCAGCTAGAAATGATACGATCCGTCCAGTCACCAACTTTCTACGTTCGATATTACGTTCGTAGGTAATCAACTAAAAGGACTCTTTGTCAACCAATACTGATGTTAGGATAGGAATACCTAAGTGGAGTAGGCTTAAAAGATGTGCCAGTTTAAATGAGCGAACACTTTTCAGCTTCTTTGAAACTCAAAGCGTTCTTGATTATTCAAAGTGGCTTGTTTTTTTATGGAACACTCTGTATCCATAGGTTGAAATAAAACGTAAGCTCGTATCGTGCCGTTTCGGGGGTGAAAGGACTATTTTAATGCTTTTCAGACTCAAGCGCATGCAGATACATTTTAACGACTCAAGATGCAAAATTGAGTGAGATACGGTATCTAATTCTTCTGGAGGAAGGTGGGCTTTTGTTGTGTGCTCATTGCGGTTTGCGCTGAAAAACGTCAAAAAGCACCCTTTGCAAACCTATTCAAATAATATTGATCGCTGATTGATGAGATGAAGGTAGATGAGTTGATGGATTGTCATTAATATCCAATATTAACATGGGCACATAGGGTCACTGCTGCGTGGCGAGCGCAAGGAAAATTAAAACGCCTTCAATTGAATGAGTATGCAACACGCACATCCATCGAGTACGAATAGTTGTATGCAGCGCCTTGGTGAAAGTCGCATCCTCAATTCCTCACGTAACAGCAACGGGTAACCGCGCGTCGTTGAGCGATTGAGCTCGCATGTTTGTGGTCTACTTTTAACAGTAGCCTATTCAACAGAATAATGTTGGAAATAGATCATTTCAAGGGATTCCAATTTTAAATACCGGATTTTTTGCGTATTTTGTAAAAAAAAAAGTGCACGGTAATTTTTTTATTTTTTTATTTAGGAATCACGCAGGAATGTGACATGCAGTCACGCTGAACCGACTTCAATTATCCATCCCTTTTTAATTTTAATTTTATTTTATTTCTTTATTTGTTTTTAATTCAGCAATATGTAATTTCCTCAAAAAGTAACAAAACTGACGCGATTCACCATGGACTGATGGAATCAAGGTAGAGATTCATTGGGTTTTCATTATTAACATGGCTACATAGGGTAACTGCTGCGTGGCGAGCGCGAGGAAAGTTAAAACGCCTCCAATTGAATGCGTATGCAACACGCACGTCCATAGAGTACGAATAGTTGTATGCAGCGCCTTGGTGAAAAAGTCGCATCCTATCCTCAATTCCTCACGTAACAGTAACGGGTAACAACCGCGCGTCGTTGAGCGGTTGAGCCCGCATGTTTGTGGTCTGCCTCTTGATTTACGTTGTTTCTTTGATTGTTTCTGTAGTTTGAAATGTACAACGTTTAATTAAAAAAGAAAACGTTTCTTTGTAATTAATAGGTTAACTAGTCCGAAGTGATTGATAGAACTCCATGGTTTAAATCGAGGACTTTTTTTAACTTTAATTTTTTAATATGATAACTTATTTTCCTTTATCATCCCATTGGTGAGTATATTTCAAAGAATTTTTCAATCGATTGCCGATTGTTCCAGGTTCGATTATATAATATTCCCGGAAAAGTTTCGTTCGTAACCTCGATTTTTCAATATATCTTATCTTAAGCGTTACGTAGACGATTGTATTTTAAGAAATTTACCATGAGCTGACTTTTCCAGATCCTACCTGAACGAGCGTATCCAGAATCAGTCTAAGTGCGTCAGCCGTTTCCAAATCTCCTTTTATATTTTTTCATCAGAAAACAAAACAGCATTCGGAAATAAAATGTTGTGAGTAAGAGTATTTCGACGTTGAACTGAAATAAATGGTACGATGCTTTGGTCACGATGCTTCAAAATCTCTGCTCCTATCTAATTTTTTTAAAAGAGACCGAGCCGATACCATGAATCGAAATTTTTGCTTTTAACTTGCGGGTGTGGAGTGTGGATGTCTCTAATCCCTCTTAACGTATAATTAGCGAAATTGTATTTGGTCTTAAGATTGACAGTATTAAGGAGATTATAAAAGGCACTAAATTTTTTGAAAATACAATTTTTTTATTTCAATATAAAACTGATTGTGAGTGCACGGTAAAATTCTACTTGCGATCAGTGTCACTAGTAAGTTAGGTAGTGGGGATTATTTCTCCAATAATGAAAATAAAGTTACTGTGTTACACCGAAAAAAAGGTGCTGATTTAACATTCTGGATGCGAGAACTTACAAAACGCTGAATTCACCGCCACAGCCGTTAGTTTTACATCTTGTCATTGCTAAAGTAACTGCTATTGCGGTTGATTCAGCGTTTTGTAAGTTCACGCTCTCTTTCCTACACCCAGAATGTAAAATAATGTGTTTATTTCTTGGTGTATCCATTAATTTCATTTTTCTTTCAATCAGTGTTCGAAACTCACAGGCGCCAACGCGCCAAATGCGCCTAAAAAATCGGCCATGGCGCCTTACAAATTGAGGCTCTGCGCCAACGTGGCCCCTAAAAATTGCCCCCTAAAAATCTGAATTTTCTTATGAGGTGATTATTCGAAATTCCCAGCACTACAAGTGAAAGCTTTTTCTATATTCTTCACGATTTCATCCTTTGTGCTTTCGCCTACCTCAAGTTACAGCTACTCACTAGTTCTGTCACGAAAACATCTTGCATCTAACTTTTCACTAAATGCGCCGTAATATAAAGGCAAAAAGTCAATTTAGCCCCTAAAAAATCTTCAGTGGCGCCTAAAAATCGGGCTTCATGCGCCACTTGGCTCTTAAAATTCAAAGGTGAGTTTCCAACACTGCATTCAATTATGGTAGCCATATTTTGCGGGTGGTAGTTTGTGAGTCGCGCTGAAGCCCATTCTCCCCACCGCTCAGAAGTCGGACGAACATTTCGGAACAATATCATTCCACGAAGCGAGTCGGCATTAGCCGAGAATAGACGGTTGTACTATTCTTTGTAATAAAAACCGCATAACTTCAGTGGGACCCTCGTGCAGATACGCGTTTTTTGCTTGACAAGACAGCGCGAAGGAGGAGAAGCCGTACGAAGTGGCTCGACAATGCTGCCGTGCTATGGAGGAGCAGTGGCGATTTTGCAAGTTGGCAACTCTGTTTCCTTCTCCATTTAAATCTATGTTAAACTATCTATTCTAAGTTGGACGGCCTGCCTCGCCTAGAATCGATATATTCAATGCATTTAAATCGAGGATAACAGTGTTGTCAACTCACGAGAAGCGCCACTGACCGAAGGGAGCGTTAGGTGCAAAAAGGATGCAAATATTGAGAAAATGGACATTGGAAATGAAAAAAATTGGACGTATTTCTTAGATAGATAGAATTTATTGATGCATACAGCCTATAGTAAAAAGCTCTGGCACAAGTCAAATTTACAATTTATACAACAATTACAACAATTTAAGCAAAATGAAATTATACAGGTTCCTTAAAAAATTCTTTTAGATTATAATAAGCTTTATTAAGCGCTCAGCCGATAGGCAGCGCTTTTTGATTTCGACTTGCCTCTGAGTACTAGTATACTAGTGCTAATGCGTTTAAATAGCGCACCAGCTCATCGATGTGTAGGCTTTTTTTTGGGGGGGGGGGTCCATTTTTAAAACAAATAAAGCTGTGAAAACTGTATTTTATGCTTTTAACGTAATGCGCAGGTAGTTTCGATCGTTTGTCTAAAAGAAAATTTCTTAGCGGTAGAGTAATTCTTATCGAAATTGATCGTTGAACTCAAATGAAGCCAATAAAAACGCGCCTGATGAGCTCAACGGTGAGCTCATTTTCGGGAAACAAAAATACGCGTTTACGGTTTCCTTGGTAACCTTTGTTTGCTATCAGCTGATGTTTTATTTCCATTTCCCAGCCAAGTCGACGGAGTTTATACTTCCTTTCTTCACTAACTACATTTACTAACACCTGAGCGCTTTTCTAATACGACAGTATGGGCCACTAGACAAGGTACGAATTTTAGCATTCTGATACATGTATCTTAGTTAAAATTTTACGTAGAATACGACGCGCACAACGAAAATTACCGAAATCAACTCCTTCCAAAGATATTTAATGATTCTTGATGCGTGAATTCAAACCACCCGCTCATGAAAACTCAATGCTCTGCGTAATTCACATCGTGCGCTAAAAATTATCATGACAGTCTCTGCGATATAAAAGTCTGGCAATCTCAATCTTGACACTTTGGCTCAGCTGTAGCAAATTTTTTATAGTTTGAACAACACATGGTGGGAAATGAACATTACTAGATTGAGAACTTTGTTGAAACCGTTGTAGTGCGCGATTTGGCTCACGTAGAGCTTTGAGTTTCTTGTCAGCGGGCAGTTCAAATTCCTCGGAACCAATGTGAAATAAAAATGTTAATATCTTCGTTTGGATTTTGTTTCATTAGTTTTCGTTGCGCAAATTCTAGGTGGCGGTAGCCACCCCGGCCCAATCCTAAAAAACTCCCCCTAAAAAATGACAAAAAAAAAAAAAAAAAAAAAAAAAAAAAAAAAAAAAATCGTGCTTTACGTGAAATTTTGGTTAAGAAACATGTATCAAAATGCTTAAATTCGTACCATGTCTAGTGGTCCATTTAACTTTCCCGCTTGTTAATATTTGCGCTCGTCCGGGGACGGAGCGTCAATTTAAATTTTCGCGGGCATATTTGTAATTTAGGAGCAAAAATGGCGGGAAATCATGCATTTCCGGTTTCCGGACTGGCGGCGTGCAGTTTGTAAACAAACAGGTCTTCCCCGGAGTTCGTGATAAAGGTACTCTAGTTTGTGACGAGCACATGAGTTTTTCATTTCTCTGATTTTATTACAATTTATTATCATCGTTCGATATTGTAAAGTATTATTTCCATGTTCGGGAGGGAAAACATCGGCTCGAAAGAAAAACAATTCCAGTGTGACGGGAACCTATAAGTTCGGTTCGAAGTGTGTTTCGTGCATCGTGTGAGGTTTGGTTTGGTGCGAAGTGGAATCTTTGAGGAGCTCTTTCAACACTTAAAATAACTGATTATGGGAAATATTCACAATTTTGGACCCAACTGTTCTCGTAGTATCAGGTAAGATGCCAGTTATTGCATGTCATTCGACTTCGATCTAAGTTACCTCTGCGCTCCATGGATGCGGAGTTGAGGTTAGGTACATGTTTACTCACCCTTTGCATTGGCTTACAAAGCAGAAATAAAGCTTTTAGCAGGCGTGACAAGCCGTCAGAAAGCGTTAATAGTTTATATTTACATTCAGCTGCCATAGTTTACCTGGGAATAGCTGACATCCCAATTTGAAGTCGTACCTACTGAGCAACATTTCTGTGCAGGTAGTCAGGCACCATCGGTTACGAAGATGGACGTGTCCATGAGGTACCGAAGCAAATAGTGCAAGTTAGACAATAATAAAAGTAAACAGGATACAAATAATAGATGTATCTTCAGCTTCTAAATTTTAAAGACCCTTTTGACGACTGTCACATGGTAATTGTAGGGGTAAATTCATACCAACGGAAGTCGAAGAGCGCGTCTTCCTGTCGGTGACATCACTGTATTCCTGTTCCAAGCTTCCATTCCAAGCTTTTAAATGTTCTCGAATCAGTATTTAGACTTTCAACTAGGTATGTAATCATGGACCGCTGTGTCTAGAATATTCTGAGGAAATTTTTTAGGAAAAATATTCAATAATAATCTCCTTAGAAATAAATCAATAGTGTAATCTCCAGACGTCTCTTGTTTTTTAGTTTTATGTTCAATTGGTTAAGGAATATTTTGACAGAACTTTCCCTGTACATTACTTTTAATTCGTTGGTTAAGTTGTTGAAAAATGTTATCGCTTGATTTTTCATCGATTTACTCTCCCTAGTTGTTACAATATTATTGTTCATGAAGCAATGTCTGGTGCCATGAACTATGAACTACCATGAACTTTCTATCAAACAGAACTATGTGAAGGTGAGAAATATGGGGTGTGCTATAGAAAGCTGCATAAGAAAAAATGTAAAAGTGGGCAAGATTCCTTTTCAAGAATTGGAAAAGCGGGATTTTAAAGTCAGCAAACAGAACTATGTTCCAACTGAATGCGGGATTCATGAGCCTCGGGCATGGCACGGTAGCGTTGTGGACAGGGCTCATGAGTTAATGACCACTACGACCGCGACGACGGTATCTATCTCCGTTGACGTCACTGGCGCTTTATTATTCTCATTCACTCTTACGGCCAGAGAACTGACAAGCACACCCCATATTCCTCACATGCACATAAATCTGTTTGATAGAAATACGTCCAATTGAAAGAATAATACTTGAAAATTTGCACTTGTTTTTTTTCTGTATTGGAAGCTATCATGGATTAAAAAACCACTCAATGCACTGTTTTTCTGAGTGTAATGATTTGTCAAAATCAAAAAGATTTTTATTATCCACAAACTACACACATTTGTTTTAGTTTACAAATTTTTATCAATCCCAGGTTTCTTGAAGTGACCTAGGGTTAAGTAAGGTCGATTAACCAAGTAATTTTGTTAGCCACGTGGACACAAATTTTAAACTTTATACTGCCGTGCTGAGGAAAAACACCGTATAAGCGCTCGAATGTTGCCAAATTGCCGCTCATAAAATATTTATTTTTGAAGAAAGTTATGATATGTTGTCTTGAAATGTCCAAACGTTTTATATCAAATTACATCCAAATTTCTTTTACAAATTAAAATATCGATTCTTGCGAATCCTCCGGGAAATTTCTTTTTGTCAAAAGACATTTGACAGCTTTTGAAGGCGTATACGGCATTCTTCCTCAGCTTGGCAGTGCAGAAATCCATATTTTTTCTTCACCGTGCCCTACGTCTCAGAAACGCATAA